TCATCTTTTTAAGTGGGAGAACTTGCACAATTGGTGGCTGACTAAATACGTTTTTGCCCCAGTGTATATGTGGATAAATCAGGCTTGTATATAATCACCCATTCTATCCAACTTTTTAACTCCTGTATTATATATTTTACTGAATAAAAATGGTGGAATAATACATAGGGTGATTTTTGTCTATGCATTGAAGACACTGCCTCGGTGTCAAGAGGCCAATTTCAAATGCAATAGTTGAAGAGATTCATATTCTTAATTATTAATTCTTATTTTGCAAGATTGAGGAAATGGGAAAAGCTACACCAAGCTTCTTACCTATTACTACAACTTATTTGGTGGGAGGAACCACTGGCAATCATGGCTTCCATTCTTTCTTTGAAGACAGCTAGTCCTATGCAGCCCACTAATTAGCTGATCAAGGAACTACCTGGATAGCATTGAGGGTGGGGAAGCCACTAGTTTCTTAGGGATTGCCCTCTAGTCTTCAATGAAGATTTATTCTTACAGTTTAGAGCAACCTTCCCCAATCTGCACCCACTCAAGATATACAAACTTAAACTTCCAGAATCTAGAGCAATGGCCATGCTGACAATGAAATTCTGGAGTGAAAATCTCAGTTGAACTAAGATCAATCCAGGAAATATGCAAAGATTCTGAATAGATTTCCCTTTTCACTTCTGTTGAGAATATTACACATTTGTACAATTAACCTCACGTATGGGCCTTATATAATTCCTTTCATCATGGCCACTAGAAGTTACTGTAGCAGAGTCAGCTATCTTTCAACATTTTCTCCACTCCCTTCCTTCAAGGCAGAAATTGGGCCAAGTACCAGCTTGCTGCAGGTGTTGTTGAGACTGTCAGCGCTGGATTTTAGGATTTAAAACTGCTAAAAACAAATCTACACGTTACATGTGACCTCATATTTTTGGAACACTTTATAAACATACAGAGACAACAAATTGTTAGAACTTGGCACTAGCACTGTATTGGAATCTCATAGGAATTTCAAGTATTCCTGGGTGCTGGAAGGAAACACTAATGTGCCTGAGATTCTGCCATTCCCACATGAGGACAGGGTAAAGAAACAGAGTTGTTGAGGGAAAAAAATGCTTTTCAAGTCTCTTGGCTTATCAAATACATTCTGTATATTAATAATCATGGTACATTTATATATGTTGTCCTAGATCAAGACAGCACTATGACTTTTTAAAAGTGATATAGTAGAATAAAGCTATTTACAAAATTCTCATCCTTATGCAGAGTAGACTTGTATGTTCTCCAAGAAAAGTTACATCTGGCTCTAACACTTTATCTTCCGTCACCAGGATTTTTTCAACCAGATGTTTGGCAGACGGAAACCTAAAAAATATCTTCTAGATGACAATACTATCCAAGTAACCTGTCTAAACATCCCATCATCTGATCTAGTGGCCATTTATTGGTGTCATCTGCACAGCAATTCAGAGTTTAGTTCCTTTCTGTGAAATACACTGTCTTGATCTCAATGAATTGCCTCTGACGCAGTTTGATACTCAACAGTTTCCTGTGAAACTCAAAGGCTGTTTGCAGACATGTTAACCAAGGGTAACTGAAGCACGCCTTACTGAATTAAACCATTTGCTTGTTTGCACAACATGGTAAACCATGTAAACTTTGCTCACTTCCAATATTGAGCCACATATACCCAAAAGCTACTTTTTAGCCTATCATATTGCGTAAACCAAGTATTTCCTCTAGACCACACTAATTGTCTTGTATAGACAAGTGATATATTCCACATTTGTGAGACCTGATCTTGCCTTGCAGTCTATCTGATGAACTACCTTTACAACATTAATACTATCACCTTAACATACAGTATAGTTATAAACAGTTATGTTTTACAACATTAATACAATGACCTTAACAGTACAATATATACAGTTCCTTTAAAAACATTTGAACGCTGGTCTATATAGTCATTTACTACGTATTCTGACATTCCTAATTCTGCTACTAAAGATCTTTCTACTGAAGATCTTGACTGAATCTACATGAAGAGCACAGAGTTTTTTTTCCACTGAACATTATTAAGTTCTGGGAACCAGTGGTTTCAATAAGGCTATTTCAAACTTTTCTCTGTCCTCAGCTTTTGGTAACAATTTAACATTCTTGATTTAATCAAAAGTCTTATGGACTACTGGAATCAGAAAAGGTAAATAAGTTGACTAAAAGAAAAGAAGGTATACAATCAGAAAGTGGCTATACAAGAATTACAGGTGCATTGATCTAGTATTCTGTCAGCCAAGTGAATATACACACTGCACTATACACACCCCAACATTTGGGTGTGTGATATCCCATGGAAATGTGAAACGTGTGTGGTACACATTGAAATTTATTGAAACAGCCAGATCTTAGAAAATAGTATGCAGAAATAACTAACATCCATCACACATATCCACATAAAAGCAACATGCTGTATTAGAAAATAAATGCAGCAGTGACTATAGATCCCTAAGTGTGGAAAGATCAATGAACATCTTTGCACTGAAGATCTCTAAAATTTCTTCTGATGGTAATAAACACAGCTAATACTGTTGATTAAGTTATTCTGGACAACTGCCACTACCCTTTACTTTTTATCAAGGGCAACTAATTGTACCAATTCACTCCCACATTCTCCTTTAATAAACCTGTCCATGCAGCTTCTGATTTCTTGAAAAAGTCCAAACTGTACTTGAAGAGAATTCCACATCTGTTTTATACAGCTGTTTGCCCTCCAGTACATGGAGCTACTCTTCAACAGGCAACATTCCAACACTCTGTTAGGCAGATGAGTAACTGCATTCCACTGCGTGTCTGTGTATGTGTATCCTCTACCAGAGACCTGGGAGTTTGGGGATTCTGTGCAGTATCTTAGCTGTTCTTAGCACTGCACTCTTCTGGACAGAGACCTCTGATGTTGATCCTGGGATCTGTTGAAGCCACTCTCCCACCTTAGGAGTCACAGCCCCAAGTGCTCCTACCACCACTACAACCACTTGGCCTTTACTTTCCACATCCTCTCCAGTTCCCACTCAGGTCTTGGTATTTCTCAAGCTTCTCATGCTCCTTCTTTCTGATGTTGCTGTCACTTGGCACTGCTACATCTATCACCACCACTGTCTTCTGGTCCTAGTCTACTACCACAATGTCTAGTTGATTGGCTGGTACCTGCTTGTCTGTCTGAATCTGGAAGTCCCACAGGATCTTAGCCCTGCTATTCTCCACAATATTCTGTGGAATCCCCATCTGGACTTGGGAGGGTCTAGCCCATACACTGCACAGATGTTCATGTACACAATGACAGCTACAGTGGGGCAAAAAAGTATTTAGTCAGCCACCAATTGTGCAAATTCT